CCAGAAAAATTGAGTCAGTTTTCACTCCCACTATACTCTCACCTGGATAGAATACCATTAATTTAAAATATCTGTTAATGTTGTTGCTAAATAATATCATTGTTTTAATCTCCTTGAATCGCTTTAAGACTATTGTACAATTTATTTTTCTGAACCTATATGCAGATATTATTTAATCTTTGGTCAGAATCTCTTTGTACTGCAATCTATTTGCATCAAAGAGTGAACAAATAAGTACTTGCTTGGCTACATTAACAGGAGTGTGGTGTACAGATCAGAGGAGGTGATAGTAATATACTACCTTTTCCTGGTCCACGAGTACATATGGAACTTTTCAGCTATATGGTTCTGGGTATCTTGTTTAAAGACACTGAAAAAAACTTCAATGATGAAGGATTGTGGAAAGAGGTTAAAGACAGAATGAATGCTTAGAAGATAAGGGACAATGGGTAGAACTGCTTTATTTGAAAATGACAGATTTCTGTGTACGATCTTACAACTTTTCCACATAAGACAGAAAATTTAAATGATTCCAGAAAGTTAAAAAAGGCCCAGCGGTAACTATAAAATCTAGATATTTTCAGTGTCACTTAGAAAAGTTTCTAGGAGATAGAGAGATGGCTCAGTGTTTAAGAGTCCTCACTAGCAGAGGACCAGCGTTCTGATCCCAGCATCCACATTGGGTGGCTCACAAACACCTGTAACTCCAAGCGATACGATGCCTCCCCTTCTGACTTCAGTGGGCACCTGCAAACACGTGCACACACATTTAATTATTATTTTTTGTCTTTTTGAGACAGGGTCTCCCTGTAGCCCCAGCTGTCCTTTAACTTACTATGTAGACCAGGCTGGCTGAGTGCTGGGATTAAAGGCGTGCGCCACCACGCCTGGCAAAAAAAAAGATTCTAGTTGGGCATTATGGTGAGTACTTTAATTCTAGCAATGAAGAGGACTGGGAGCTCAAGGTTGTTTTCAGCTATATAGTAGTGCAAGGCTATTCTGGAATATATGAGACCCCATCACCAAAAAAAAAAAAAAACCCACAAAACAAAACAAAACAAACAAAAAACTGGTTGGGGATGTAGCTCAGTTGGTAGAGTGTTTGCTTAGAATGCATGAAGCCCTGGGTTCCATTCCCAGCACCACATAAGCATAGTGTCACACATCTGTAATCCCAACACTTGGGGGTGGAGGCAGGAAGATCATGAATTCAAGGTCAATCTTGGATAGATAGTGAGTTCCAAGTCAATCAACCTGGCCTAGCTGAGACCCTGTGTCAGAGTTTTGTTGTGAATTGTTTTACACTGTTGTACACCAAATGACTTCATCCAAAGGTAGTGAGCTGCTTGTCCCTAGAGGTATTCAAGTAAAGGCTTGAATTCATAGTGTCAGGAAGAGGACCTACACAGTGAGGAGAGACATCAACTGGCATCAGCAGAGCCCAAACAGCTTTCCTAAAGCCAAGTGGTTGTGTGTAAGAGTTTGTGAATTAGCAGCCGTGGGGTTTGAAGCCATAGCTGTCAGGGTTGCGGGGACCCACCCTGCCTCAAACATGTGGGGCACAGAAGGGCCAGCCTCAGCTGGGTGGATGGGGCTGACCTGTGCTCTCTCTGCAGCGTGCATACCTGTTGAAGCTTAAGGTCATGTACACCGTGGGCTACGGCTCCTCCCTCGCCATGCTCCTGGTCGCCCTCAGCATCCTGTGCTCTTTCCGGTGAGAACATGATGCGCTCGCTCAGTCCCCGATGTCCTCGGGGACACAGAGCTCAAGTCTCTTCTTAATCACTCAGGAGGGAAAGAGGGAAGCCTGGGCAGGCTGTCTGGTCATCTCTCCAAGTTCAGGCTAGCTATGAATGCAGCCCAACACAAAATCGGAAACTTTTAAGACATTATGAGATTTTGGGGGGTAATTTTTTTAGTAACTCAATGGCCTGGTTCTTGAGAGAAAATTTTGTGGATGATAATGTAGTGCTGCAATGTCGTGTGAAAAATATGTAAACACATGTATGTCCTTGAAACCCAAGGGTCATGGGTTGAGACCCCTAGATTTAATGTGTGCTCCAATGGGGTACAGAGAAGCTAAAAGGTTGGACACCCCTAATGTAAAGCTTACCTGTGAGGCTGTGGATGTAGCTCAGTTAGTAGACAGCTTGCCTAGCATGTGCAAGGCCCTGAGATTGATCCCCAACTGCATAAGTCAGAGAGTAGTGGCACTTGCCTGCTATCCCAGAACTCAGGAGGGGGCGGCAAGAGGATCAGAAGTTCAAAGTCATCCTTGGCTACATAGTGAGTTTGAGCCTGGACTACATGAGATCCTGTCTCAAAAAAAAAAAAAAATAGTGTGGGTGGGGAACTAGTAACAGACTTCTAGTCTCTACAACACAAGAGAAAATTCTGGAGTTGCAGGTGGTGGTCAGTCTGGGCAAAAGATATGTTGTTAACAACCCTAACGATTATTCCATTCTATTCCAGGACATAGTATCACTATGTAGCCCTAGCTAACCTTGAGCTTGTGGTGATCCTCCTATCTCAGCCTCCCAAATGCTGGGGTTACAGTCATGTACCACAATACCTTGCTCTCTTTACTTTTCTAACCATAGTATGGGATAGGGTGCACTAGGCACTGCTAAGACAGAGAGCCAGGATCTGAGGGCTGATGGTCAGGCCTTGGTTTCTCCATGTAGGGGGAGGGGGCAGGGACAGGTGGACCTGGCTGAGTGCCAATCTGCCTGCCATGGCCTTGAAGCTCTGAATTCTCTTTGGCAGGAGGCTGCACTGCACTCGAAACTACATCCACATGCACCTGTTTGTGTCCTTCATTCTACGTGCCCTGTCCAACTTCATCAAGGATGCTGTGCTCTTCTCCTCTGATGACATCACTTACTGTGATGCACACAGGGTAACACATCTGGGTACCCCAGACCAACCCAGGAGAGAACCAACCCCAATAGCTCAGTGCCCTCTCAGCAAACACTCATTAAGGTGGTGAGAATGCTCCCAGGTAAAAGGCAGCACTTTGGCAGGGTTTGGAAGTTCCAGAAGGTTCTGGAAGTTTCCATAGTCATGCACTTATGACCTGGGGCATGTGTGTTGGGATGTGGTGGGGGCTGACTTTCACTCCCAAATATGGACCACCACTCTGGAAATTAGATCCATGGTGAGATTCCTCTTTTCTGGACTCCTGCCAATTCGAAACTATAAACAAATGGCAAAGTCTGAGGAAAGTTGTGGTTGTTTATTGACGAGAAAGAGCAATCTCTGCCTGTTTGTCTACACATACAGGTCTGCAGAACATGCATTTCACCAAGTATGACTCAGTTTCTCCTTCCAACTGTCCAGATGCCTGCCTCTCAGTTCACTGCATTCAGCCTGTGTGTTACCTGGGAACCCTAACTTCATTGGTAGCTTTAGCAAATGTGATTTGCTTCCCACAGAAGCAGCCCACCAGTGGGGAATCCTGAGTGTGCCATGTCCCCAAGCTGTCATATAGGGCACAGTCTTTTCCTTTTGTCAGTTCTGTGATCCATGACCTAAGACTTTCTACCTCATGGTTGCAGTGTGGGTACTGTAACCCCAGGCCTCAAGTCCATATCCTGGAAAAGGGAGCTTCCAGGTTAAACATTAATTTTTTTCATTATGGGAGGCTTTGCTTTTTTATTTCTTCCCCAGAGAAATAAAATTCATTGGCTAGAATTGTGTCATGCGACTGTACCTAATTGTAAAGGAAATTAGGAAATCACAGGCTCTGTAGCAGGGAAGGGAAAGATTAAAAGTTGAGATTGTTTTAGCTGGCCTGCTTGCTTCTTCCCACTGCTCATATCTATGCAGTTTCTAGTTTGTGTGTGCATGCAAGTGTATGCATGCATGTGTGCATGTGTGTGCATGTGAGTGCATATGTATATGTATATGTGTATATATGTATTGTGTGTGTGTGGTTTTGGAGTCATATTAAAAGGTCCCTCAAGTAGAATCTATCTCTCTAAGAAGAAACAAGAGATTCAGGCAGAGCTGGGGATATGGTGATTCACTTGGTAGAGCAGTTTCCTAGCATGCCCAGTCCATCCCCAGAATCACATAATCTGGTGTGATGGTGCAGGCCTGTAATATCAGCACTTGAGAGGGGAAGGCAAGGGAATCAGGAGCTCAAGGTTATTCTCAACTACATAGGAAGTTTGAGGTTAGCCTGGGATACATGAAAGCCTGTGTTCTAGTTAGGTTTCTCTGTTGCTATAGTTAAACACTGATGAAAAGCAACTTGGGGAAGGAAAGGATTATTTGGCTTAAGGTTACAGTCCATCATTAAGGAAAGCCAACATAGTAACTCAAGCAAGGCCGGAACCTGGAGGCAGGCACTGAAGCAGGGACCATGGAGGAAGGATGCTTACTGGCTTGTTTTCCTCTGACTTGCTTAGCTACCTTTCTTGTACAGCCCAGGTCCATGTGCCCAGGGATGATACCAACCACAATGAGCTTGGCTCTCTTACATTGTTTATTATCAAGAAGATGTCCCAGAGACATAGGCACAGGCCAGTCTGAAGGAAGAAATTCCTCAATTGAAGTTCCTTCTTCTCAAGTGTGTCAAGTTGACAACCAAGATTAGCCATTAGCTAATCTTGTGTCGGGGGAGGGGGCGGGGAGAAAGAAAGGGAGTGGG